TCTAGTCTGAATCTCCCCTCTGCCAGCTTGTGACCGTTATTCCTGGTCACTCCTGGCAGTGCTCAGGGGAACAGGGACCCCCCAATGCCTGCTGATCCATGTTTGCATGCACACACACTGAAAGATAATCTAGGCCCTTACTTCACAACCATGCCTAAGCACATGCTTATGAATTAATTAAGTACATGCTTACCCACTGCTGCATCTCCCTGATGAGACATATAGTGCAAGAGTGTTTCCCACACTGTACCCAGGAGGCAGGATTGGTTCTTGGCTCTCTCCCCTGACATCTCCATTCCCACCCTTTCCCACTCAGGCATGCTGGGGAGGGGCATTAGCACTGGTCAGACCAGCATTAACCCTATGGCAGATTGTCTCAGATTTAGGGCAGTGTCTTCAAAAGCATCCATTAGTTCTGGGTCCTCACTTGGCCTACATCAGGCACATCTTTTAGAGTTGCCCACCTCCCACAACCCCACTGCAGGTGAGCAAGAGCTGCAGCTGCCTTGATTACCTTTAATTTTTCAGACAGCATCTGTTCCCTGGTTCACCTCCTGGGCTCAGGAGGCCCCAGCCCCCACCTTCCTGTAGCATCTCTTCCGTGTATTGTTCTGACATAGGAGATCCCATATGCTTACTGTATGTGCGTGCGGGTGGGAGAGATTGCAGTAATTCAGGGCCTTTCATCCCATCTTTGATTGCCTTAGCTGCCCCTCTGGACTGGTCTTCCAAAGGCCATTAAAGGGCTCCTGTGGGACTCTCTTCTGTCCCAAAATGTTCACATCACAGGGCAATCCCCTGTGAAATGTCACGCTGTCCAACAAAGAGAACATCCCTTTTAATTTCATCAGGTAAATGGAGGGCTTCTTTCCCTGGAGATCCTCACACAAAGACGACAGTCCCAGACATAGCAATCAATATTAGAGGTTTTCATCACTGGTGCCAAACCTTCTCTTTAGAGGGAGGGTTTATACAGAAAGTAATGAGCACTTCTTTTGGGAAAGACATCTCTTTCCTCAGACTTTGCAGGAAACAGCATGGATTTATTAGGGGGAGATCATGTCAGACCAACCTGATTGCCTTCTACGATCAGGTCACAAAGGCCATGGATGCAGGTGTCGCGGTGGATGTAGTCTTTCTGGACTTCAGCAAGGCCTTTGACACCGTCTCTCACCCCATCCTAGTTAAAAAACTAGGTGACTGTGGCATCGATGCCTACACAGTCAGATGGATTGCAGATTGGCTGA